AAATAAATAAATAAATAAATAAATAAATAAATAAATAAATAAATAAATAAATAAATAAATAAATAAATAAATAAATAAATAAATAAATAAATAAATAAATAAATAAATAAATAAATAAATAAATAAATAAATAAATAAATAAATTAATAAATTAATAAATAAATAAATAAATAAATAAATAAATAAATAAATAAATAAATAAATAAATAAATAAATAAATAAATAAATAAATAAATAAATAAATAAATAAATAAATAAATAAATAAATAAGCTACGTACGACTCAAATAATAAGCAAAAAAGTTTTTCTGCTCTAGCGTTTCCCGGAAAGTGTTCATTTCAGGTGAAAGTTTATTTTACAACATCGTATAAACATGAGAGTGTAATTTCTTGAGGACAAAGAATATTTAAAAATGCAGTGTGACTATAGGTGATTATTTGTGTGCAGATCTTGAGAACAAAACCTTAAACCATGATGAAACTACGAATTTTCAAGTTCACGGTTAAACAAAATGTATAATAATGTTCTACCAACTGCAAGTCACATATGGGGTCCGGGATGATATAGTCGTATATTTCATAGAAAGGTCTACTGTCAATCGAGATATATGGGTCTCATATAAACAAAGATGGCGACTTTGACTGTTGCGCAGATCAACGAGTACGAACTGAGACGTTTCCAATCTTTAATTAGGTAATTTTCATGTTATTCGAAGGTATTAAGGAGTCACCAGCGGTAATCAGTGCAAGTCGCGCCCAGATCAAACCTCATACTTGTTATTTCCATTTGAAGAGCGCATTGGATTGTGGGAAAATCAATGTTTTATCAACACAAATGTCGCACATGCGCAGCGCGACGACTACCGCGCTTTAACCAGTAACCAGCAAATCTCTAGTAAGAGAATATATCCCCACTTCACGTTTTTATTCAAAAACAGATAATCAAATATTACAATCGAGCGATAAATACCAAACAAATTACTAGAAGCAACAAAACAAATGAAGATCAAAGTGTAAATAAATGAGACAGTGAGTTTAAACTGGTAAAATACTTAATTTCCATTAAAACTCCCCGATTTTGATTAAGTAATCATAAATTAAAAAAATAAAAACAGGGAAACACCCAAAGCTAAAACACCAGAAGAAAATAGAATGTGCAAACTTTGTTTGATGCACAAATTGAATGGATGACTATCAGTACATGGAGATGTATGACAAGAATTTCAAGAGTAAGTTCGTAGTTTTAATGAGTGGCGCCGGAAAATATTAATGCCGACACAAGACAGCAACAACCAGATTTGTAGATTATACTTTGTTACTTTAAAGTGTAACTGAATTGGGCCAATTGACTTTTTTGTGTGCAAAAAATAATTATAAACAACATTATGAAAAAAAATCAAGTGAAAATGGTATATAAATTGGGTAAACAGTCAATGATATTCCAAAGCCGGGCCACGCCCCCCTCTCCCGTCACCTTCGAGTTTTTTCGGCATTACGAGTGTTGCCGAAATGGTGCCACCAACGGGACCATAAAGCAGGAGATTGCTAGCAGACAAGATTGTTAACCATTTTCCATACGCAAGCGTTTAGTAAACCAGCATACAGTACAGTTCTCGCGAAAGCTTTGGCCTTTGTGGCATCATTGTCGCCTACGCATGGCTTCATTGTCGCCCCAGCATCGCATCATTGTGGCATCAGCTTCGCGTCATTGAAAATTGAAGCTGTGCTCGCC